GGCCTAGAGCAGTTTTACTTTCCTCTTTTACTGACTCAGGTAGGCCTATCTTTTCATTATATTTCTTTGCTTCTGTGTATTTTGGCTATCTGCGGAGCGCTGCACTGCTTGCCTATGGTTCGTCCGTCACTATGGTTCGTCAGAATCAAGTATGGTGCGTCACAGAACTGACAGAGAGTTCCGTCATGGAAGACGAAGGTCCGTCATAATTAGGACGCTGGGGTCCGTCGTATGAAAACGCGACACACGTTGAACCAGTGACGCACCATTCCCAGGGGTCCTATGGTGCGTCATAAATTGACAGCTGCATAATTTACTCAATGTTAATACTGTATACAGTAGCAGATTTTTACAGTACCACAACTTTTTTTTAACAGATTTTGGATATTAGTTTTCCTTTTTACTGATTTTGTGATTTTTATGCTCGATGTTGCTAAGAAACTTCATCATGTTTTCTAGAAGTGAAATTTCTCTTTTGAAATGGTGTACATTTATCGGCCTTTGCATGTTTTCAAAGATTATGTTTGAGATGTTTGTGGAAGAGGCACTAAAACCCACAGCTGTGAGTAGATGAATAATTACTAATTTAATAGTCATGTCATAGTTGCATATTGCAGGCACCCTATATTAAAATTTCTTTTAAAAGACATACACCTATTTTAAAAAAAAATATTTGTTACTGAAAACTACCATGCTAGATAGTCAAAATCGACTCAATACAACCTGATATTCCTCAAATGTGCTGGGCTTCAATGGGGCTTCGTTCCCTAGGATCCCCCACCAGGGGTAGGCGGCCCCCTGGCTCCCAGCCTAAGGCTACTCGCTTCGCTCGCAGATTGCTCCCCCACCCCCTTTTCTGGTAGGCTGGATCCGCCCCTGCCCTCGGCGCTTCATACCTTGGCACCCCCCCCCCTTTTTGCTAAATCCTGTATCCGCCCGTGTATAGGCCTATTTTTATTAAGATATTTTGCTTGTCCAAAAACTCAAGTAATTGAAAACGATTTTCAATGAACTGGATTATTTCGGCAATTAGGACTAGCCAATTGGCCCCAGCACATTTAGATGTGACGGTCGTGAGAGCCGGCGTTTTGGCATTCGCCAAACATTATTTCAAAAGAGTGGAGTCGGCGATTAGCATTTGTTTCGACAGAGTGGAGTCGACAATCTGACATTTATGAAACTGTACAGAATTCCTATTTATAGCTAAATAAACATATAAGAATACCGGGCTGCGGTTGCAGAGATTACATGTTAGAAAAATTTGAAGGTGTGAGACTTTTAAAAACTACGCCCACGCACCCTTCCTTCACCCACCCTTTCAGAATTTTTTTCCTCATGCCTGAAATGCATTTTCAGATGCTTATCAAAATATAAAGTTGGCCTATGTAATAATCTATGTTGGTTTTGTCGTAAAATTGTCTGAAATATTTCATAATTCATGGATTATTTCGGCAATTAGGACTATATTAGTATTAGCCAACTGGCTCCAGCACATTTAGATGTGACGGACGTGAGAGCCGGCGTTTTGGCATTCGCCAAACATTATTTCAAAAGAGGGGAGTCGGCGATTAGCATTTGTTTCGACAGAGTGGAGTCGGCAATTTGACATTCATGAAACTGTACAGAATTCCTATTTATAGCTAAATAAACATATAAGAATACTGGGCTGCGATTGCATAGATTGCATGTTAGAAAAATTTGAAGGTGTGAGACTTTTAAAAACTACGCCCCCGCACCCTTCCTTCACCCACCCTTTCAGAATTTTTTTCCTCATGCCTGAAATGCATTTTCAGGTGCTTATCAAAATATAAAGTTGGCCTATGTAATCTATGTTGGTTTTGTCGTAAAATTGTCTGAAATATTTCATAATTCATGGATTATTTCGGCAATTAGGACTATATTAGTATTAGCCAACTGGCTCCAGCACATATATAATATAAACTATACTACCATATAGTTTCATTCAATGAGGCCCCGACAGATTTAAACAATAAAAGCTGGGTTCGGATGTTCAAAATTTGTTTCTGATTTTGTGATCATCTGCTTTGCATTGATACGTTATTAAAACACGTTTTGTTTCTAAATAGTCCCTGTATTTATTTACACCAACATAGAGTACATAGGCCTACTGTAGTCCTATACCAGTTCCGAAAGTTGGCCTATGTAATCTATGTTGGTTTTGTCGTAAAATTGTCTGAAATATTTCATCATTCATGGACCATTCTATGTTCTAACAACGCAATTAACAGTTCATAAATGGCATAAGCTCTAAGCGCGAGGTGGGGGGGGGGAAGCCCCCTCGGACCCCACCAGGGGACTTCACCCCTGGGACCCGACTAGGGTCATCGCGGCTCCCTGGCACGCAACGTCTGTTTGCTCCCTCCGCTTGCAAACTTAACGCTCGTTTCGCTCGCTTAAATCAGGGACCCCAATAAGAGTCACCACCAGGGCCTACAAACTCCGTGACTCCACTGTCCACGTTTGAATTTATTGTTAGTTGGGTCGAACTGTCTGCTGGGGACGTTGGTTTTGTGTCGAGTTGGTTTTGGTCCGAAGTGAACTGTATTTACAAATCGAGTCCTATTTTAAGTAATACAGATGTTAATATACAATATATTTGTTAATATAGGCAATACATGTATGCGTGAGATTTTTGTCCCTAGACGTGACACCGTGAATCTCACGCCGAATTCATGAGACTTGGTAGGTCTGTGAGTGTCAACACCATTTTAAAAGAACAAGTCCTTTTAGGTACTCATCATGGGATATAAACTAGATATAGGCCTACATGTCACTCTGGTATTTTGTAATATAACTTACTCGTCCCTTGGTTTACTCGTGCCTTCTGATAAGATACATAAGTGATCTAAATTATTTCCATATTACAGCAATGTCAGATCTTAATAAATTAATAATATAAAGTCTAAATTTTTAATTGTTGAAATTATAGTTCAGGGACCTGATTTGTTTTGTTTTGGCCCTGGTACCGGTACGATGCTGGAAGGGAAATCCCCTCACGCACAGCTAATTGATTGGACATAAGAAATGTCACGTGATAGGAATTCCTTGGCGCGGGGCTTGCACAGTGTAAACAGTATCGTAACCGTGCCAACAAAAAATAATATGCAGTATTAAATCGTCACTTATATAATTTTAGCATCTTAAAGTGATGTCTGGAAAGACTGCGCCTGGTTCATCACTTCGTCTAGAATGGGTTTACGGTTATCGGGGCCACCAATGCCGCAACAATTTGTTTTACACGGCGACAAAAGAGATCGTGTTTTTTGTAGCTGGCGTGGGAGTGGTTTATAACGTGAAAGACCACAGTCAACGCTTCTTTCTCGGGCACGATGATGATATTATTTGGTAAGTATGCCTTGGATTTGTGAGCCTAGGCCTAGGCTTAATGAACAGGTTAATGTAAAGAATTTAAATTTTGAACAGTCTTATTTAACGATCCATTGATACATTGTGACAGCTTGTTTTGGCAAAATGGCGGAATTCGATCAGTCCCCTCTCCAATCAATCATTATCAACAATCAATTATACAGTATTGCAGCTGGCCTACCTATCTAGCCTAGGCTACCTAGGCCTATGCTAGTTCCTAGGGGCCTAGGCTTTGGCTATAGACCTAGAACCCTAGGCCTAGAGGCACAGCCTAGGCTAGGTAGGTAGCTTATGCGGTGTAGGCCTATATTTAGCTGACATTTTCTTAAACGGTATGTAGAATGTAGAATAACCCTTGTTCAAGACCTTGGAAAAGGGAATAGAATAGAAGAATAACAAAAAATCGAAACTACTACTAGACAATTTTCAATAGCATTTTCTGCTTTAATGCAAAAAAAAAAAAAAAAAAAAAACCCAACCCCCCCCCCTTTTTCACATATTATCATAGTATACCTACTACATATATGTACCTTCTTTTATGATAAAGCTTTCTCCATCACAAATGTCATGATAAAAACATAAGTTCTCTCCACTGTTTGTACACTTAATAATTAAAAAAGAATATTTAATGATTAAAACAGAAGAAATTTAGAAACAACCTGCAATTTAGGTTGGTAAACAAAATGATACTTTAACAATAACATTCATCTTTATTTTATACTTCAGAAAATTAATATGTACATTATTAATATTGACACTAAATTGTTAGAATTAGTAATAATTCAAAGTAATTGCCAAATCCGAATAAAAACCTTGGCGAATAATTTTCACTTGCAATTTGCCAACTAATGAATAAAGTCATATATATGTGTGTGCACATTTTTTTAGTTTTAACTGTCATTAAATACATGTTGTGTACATGGATATTATTAAAGTAAGTGAAAATTTTACCCGTAATGATCTTTATAAACGGCTAAAGATGTTGGGCTAAAATTGGGTTTGGGCCCGCTAGGCCTCGACTAGCTTGGATCGGGAGCTCGGGAAAGCCTGCTAAAGCGATGTTGCTAGGCCATGTTTACGCTCTGAGTGTACAGTGTGACCCTATTCGTAATGAAGCTCACATGATTATGCATAAGAAACAGTGATTGAATGCATTCAGATTCTTACTTTGTATTCTGTTGTTGGTTTGGCCAAAGAGTATAGAATTGCAAGAAACCCGACTGCCCTGATTTTGTATGCACAGGATCAAATGTTAAAAAGTACTACCACGAGATAGGGGGTGCCCTACTTACAACGCCTTTACTTTCCTATGAAGGACGCCCTCTAGTTTGTGGAAGTACAGTAGGCCTACTTTTTTTGAGACAGGATTACATTCCAACTAAACCCAGTGCGCAGACTGCCAGTGAGTCAGACCTCTTGCAATTTTATAGTCTTTGGTTTTGCTAATCAAAACTAAATTTGGCTAATCATTTTCATTCAAAATTAACCAAATTCCTAACATTTTTTTTTGCTAGTTTAAACCCTGAATGATGGCTGTCTACTCATATTAATTTTTTTTTGCTAGCTTAAACCCTAAATGATGCTGTCTATTCATATTCATTATTAGGCCCTGTAAAATAAAAAAAAAATTGGTTAGCATCCTTATGTTATCAATTTTATGGTAGGAAGGGATATTTTTTTTTCTCGCGTCGAAAATGATAAAAGAGTCGCGAAGAAAAAACAGCAAAACAAAAAAGAAAACAACAGAGACCAAAATTGCATACAAGAAATTATGTACATTTATATCAAGCAGAATCTTTACCTATGAATAACAGTCATAATGAAATTATCTATATAATCAAGCACAATTCACTGCAACACAACTGGCATCATGGATGCCATGTGGCTATAATAGTATACAGTAGAACAACAGTAGTGCATATAACTGCAAGTGGTCTGGCTAGGGTGCGGACGGGTGATAAACAAACCTATATTTAATGGAGTTTGTGAGTGTTTTGTAAAAAATAAAAACAATAAAAAAAAAACAATTGGGTCGGCGGCTCTCTGATGGTAGGGTGGGGATGCTAACTAATTAATTTATTTTACATGGCCTTATGCTAATACGGTAAGCCTAAAAATTGTTATTCAGTCATCATCATCAAGTAGTGCCGTCTTTGATTCAAAGGTTGGCTGTCATGTGTCACCATTGCTCGCCAGACTCGGCTATTATTTGAAATAAAGTCTTAACTTTCAATTAAAATTCAGAATGAGAAATTTTAATGGAGTGGGGAGGGCAATTAAGTGAGAGGTGTTAGCTGGCAACATAATAAGGTGAAATGAGGTGATTTTTAACTACTTAAGTATATTCTTTTGGCTCAGCCAATCTGGTGGAGGACCTGTGTGTATACTGTAATCCCCTACTCAGCCCTGTAGATAAACCATTGGTAATGCAAAGCAAGAATAGAATAGTATTTGAAGCAGGAGTGTGCAATCATTTAAAGTAAAAATAAAACAAAAAACATTAAGACAACAAGGAAATCTGAAAACAACAAAAGAAAATTCAAAAGATACCATCAAGATCTACAAAAGACCAGCATAGAATACAGTATTTATTTCTTGGCTTCTAACAAATAAATATTGTCTGTATATTTCTTTTGCAGTCTTTCCCTACATCCGGAGAAAACAATTGTGGCAACTGGACAGGTGGGAAAGGATCCGTACATATGTATTTGGGACACTTACAACGTCCAAACAGTGTCCATACTTAAGGATGGACACACACACGGTGTTAGTTCTGTTGGCTTCGATAAAGATGCAACGGTAATTATTACTTTATCTATTTATGTTTTTGTAGTTATTCAGTATAAGTATATAAATAATTAATCTAGTTGTGAAAGTTATCTCATTGTTAAACATTTATACTGTTCTGGTAGAATGGTACAGTAATTACATAGGTTAGTATATTATTACACCTTTAAACATCAAAGTCCAGCATTTTTTTTTTATGAATAGGCCTACTTTATATTGTAAGCTTGAATATTTTTTTTGCATGAGTAATCTAAAATTAAACATGATAACATATGGTTAGGGAGAGTTTGCTTTAATAAAACAGAAGATATATCTCTGAATCTTCTTGTTCCATTGGTGGCATGAAAAGTTTAGCAGCGACAAACTTTCTAATCGTGTACAAGATTAACAGATAAATTTAGCAGTCCATTAACATTTGAATGAATGAAGAATGTACTACCATAGAGGAATAGATTGAGAGAGGCGCTTATTTAAATGCTGGGCTTATTAAATAAATCTTCAGATTATTATTGTTGTGTTAAAATGATATGTGATGTACATATGTACATCTGTCTTGTTTAGTAGGATTTGGATGATGGAAACCTCAAGGTTAAGTTGGGTATATATGTACGGTTTATTAAGTGCTGTTATTCAAAATAGAATCTTTTAAAGCGCCAAGGTGCTTATTTCTGAGCAGAGCTAAATGAAAGAAGTTCTGGTAATCTCGAAAGCTCCGATGAGGGCAGTATAATAGAAGCAGTAGAGTATATTTTCCCCAACGGCCACCCATACAAAAAAGATCTATTAATTAATCAGCAGGGTACTCCTAGAGCTCCTTATCGGAGATAAAAATAATCATAATTGGTGCCATGCTTATTCACAAGTGGCACATATTCAATTATTTACAGTCTGTAGTAATGAATTATCAATACACAGCAATTATGTAGAGTGTTACTGTAAGATAATAATTATTAATAATTAATATTTTGTTTTAATTTCTTCAATGAGTCTTATGGAGTGGAGTTGTTTTTGTTATTTGTGAGAAAAAAAAAACAAAAAAAAAACTTGTTGCTAGTGTCTGGATTCAAACCCAGGACCCTCTTGTATTTTGCATAATAATGAAAAAGGCAAGCATCATAAATAAGCTACTGTTCATATCCCACTATCCTTTTGTCTGTTCATCATTGTTCATCATATCCAGGATGTTTACTATACATTAAATGCAAACACATGATTTATGATGATGAAGTTGCTATTATGATGCTCTGCATTATTTTGGTGTTTATTTTAATGACTATAAAATAAATCTGAAATAATTACATTTATAATGCATCATTATTCAGCCTACATGCATATCTGTACACCTTAATCGTTCCTCAACAGGATTTTATATATCTTTGGCTTACACAAGTACATCAAATGCATAATAATGTATATTAAAAAACACAAATTTAGACACATAATAATACTGTAATGCAGAAATGTATGCTGCACATTTAGCCAAGGGAAACAATGCACTGGTGATGTTTTTATCCCTGGTTATATCTTAGGTATCTATTGCCAATAAAAAATATTATTACAGTATTTATGAAGACAATTATTTATTGAATTTAGCAATTACAATTGGTAGAATGTATTGGTTAAACATTAAAAAAAAAAACATATACAAAATTAGAAAAGATTCAAGTGTTACAGATATACAATCATTAGATCCAAATTGGCAAACCAGTTGCAAATTCTCCTAGCTCTGGGGAGTATACCTAGTCGATTCAATGCCACAATATCCTACCAAGACAGACAAGCACATTTAAAGTGAAGTGGAATTCACGGCAAAGCAACTGATTTCAAGATTGAGAACCGAATCACAGTTGGTGCATCAGCTGCTCCTATATAATTAAATTTAATAATGATATAATAATTAAATTTAATAATGAAATATATTTTTATACTATTTTTAAAAAACTATAAAAACATTTATTGATGTTTCTTTTTTTTCTATGAATGTGCTGTTTTTGCTGTTTGCTCTGCTTTTTGTCTCTTTTGTAATTTGTCTGTTGTGATGAGGACTCCCCTGAAAATCAGCTTTGCTGAGTGGGACATTTCCTCTTAAAATATTAATAAAAGAAAGAAAGAAAGATATAAGCCAAGGAAAGCAATTAATTATCATTGACTCAAAATCATAAATGACATTCTCTCTTACTGAGGTACCCATCAAGAACACATATACACAATGATGTTCTACTGTACATAAACCAGGGAGGTGTAAAAAATTATAGTTGAGCAGCTTAACAACACTCCTTAAAAATGCACCATGCAAAAATATACTATTATTATACTAACGTTTCGTGTTTGGTTTTTACTATAGCAACTTGTATCTGTTGGACTTGATCCCAATAATATCATCAATGTTTGGGATTGGAAAAAAGGGAAGATCCTGGCAACTGTCAAAGGTCACACAGATAGAGTATGTATTTTAAATACAGTATTGATTTTATACTAGTCATGATGTTATTGCATGGTGATTTGATTATTATACAGTATATAATACTTGTGCATATGCTGTGTACTATACTATAATATAATGAGTTTCTATCTGCAATTTGTAAGGAGAAATCCTTTCAAAATCAACTAAAATCTCACCAGCTCCCTAATATCTTATGAAGCAGAGCACTAATAAATTTGCTAAATGATTATTCAACATTGTTTAAATGTTGGTACATTTAGCACAGTGATTGACAAAACAGATCAAACTAAAAATTTAAATACCGTATTTATTTCAGTGAATGCCCGAGAAAGGTTGGGAGGTATTTGAGGGAGGTACTGTATTTATTAATTTTGGTGTAAAATGGATATGCTCAGTACATGTACTCAAACAAGCGTCCCTATTTCTCTGTAAACAACACATAATTACCGTCATTTAGGTGGGTGTTTATTCGAGGAAAAAATAAATGCCCCAAGGCATTTATTTGAGGGTGGCATTTGTTCCAAATTGAGCTTTGGAGGGGAAATTTATTTATGGTGGGGGTGGGAGGTATTTATTTAAAGCAGGATGTTTATTCAAATAAATATGGTACTTCTTTAGGTAATAATTATAAGATTATTAATGTTATTGATTGTTTTATTAGATCTTTTACAATTTAGTTTTCAAGTATACTGTAGTGAACATTATTAAAACAGTATTTATCATTGTAATTTATTATTGTTACTATTAATATTATCAAAATGATCATCATCATTATTATTATTATTAATGACAATGTAGGTATTATTTTTATTAACATTATTTTGTTATTGATATTATTAACATACACTTGTATAATACTTACATATAATTATTTTTATTTAAACAACAATATTTTGTATTACCTAGATATTTGATTGCCAATTTAACCCGTACAAGCCTAATGCCATTGTGAGCTGCGGAGTAAAGCACATCAAATTCTGGACACTTTTAGGCAATTCCCTTACATTCAAGAAGGGTATATTTGGCAAAGCTGGGGAGCTTCAGACTATACTATGTATAGCCTTTGCGGAGGGTGATGTAACATTTTCTGGTACAATGAGCGGGGATGTTTATATCTGGAGTGGTAACAACCTTCAAAGAACAATACCAGATGCCCACCAGGTAAGGTGCTGGTTCTGCAGGTATTGGTGTAGGAAGTGATTATGAGGATGGCAGTGATGGTTTTGGTGATTGTAATGATGATGGTTTTTGGTGATGACAATGATGATGTTCCTGATAATGATAATAATAATGGTGATGATGATAATTATGGTGGTAATTAGGGTGCTCGTTATGGTGGTGTTAATGCTCATGATGATGATAATAATAAATGACAATGATGGAATGATAATATTGTGATGCTAATGTTTAAGGTGTTGATGGTTTTGTTGATGATGATTGTTATTATAATTAATAATAATGAAAATTAATAACAGATAATAACTGTGATATACTTTTTAAACAAACATATCTGTCAACCTTTTTTTTAATGTTTTTTTGTTTATAGAGCAGCATATACACAATGCTACCTAGTGAAGATGGCTATTCTACTGGTGGTAGAGACGGGACTATACGTTTATGGGATACAGATTTTAAATTAATCACCAAACTAGATTTAACCCAGATGAATGAAGGCTACAAAGGTTAGATAAAATCTGTATTTTCATTAACTTTTTATTATTAATTATTTTAATTTAAATAAATAATAATTAATTTTGTTTTCTTAATGTTATTTTACATGTTTATGACATGAGCCTGTTGTCATCCTTCTATGAATATTGAAATTTAACCATCCTGAACTTCCTTTAATGCATTTATTAAGTATAAGAATGTATTATACATACACTATGACATGACAAATGGAAAAGCAAATTTATTATAAAGAAAACAAGAATTAGTTTCTGTAAAATAGATTTTTGGACTATTTTTATAAACAGGTCTGTCGGTACGTAGTGCACACTGGATTGGTGATCGTGTCTTAGTTGGTACTCAAGATGGAGAAGTTCTGGAAATATTTGTTAGGGATCGAGACAAGCCTCGTGTCCTGATCCAAGGTCATGCTGAGGGTGAACTCTGGGCACTAGCTGTCCATCCAAAGAAGCCGATATTTGCAACAGGAAGTGATGATGAGAGTGTTAGGTAAACACTGGAATTTTGTTTTCAATTTAAAGTCGGTCAAAGAAGTATTGGGTGCTGTTGGCCAGAGACCCTCCTACCATGAATTGGGCTTAGGCAGGAAATTTAATTTTGACATCCTAGAAAGCTGTATGTGGCCCACTCTGAGATCATACCTTAATTTTCAAAACATTTTTTTTTGTCAACTAGGAAACATATTAACGGGTTATGTAAAGTAATAATTAAAAATATGATTGATTAAAGTAAACAAAGTTACCATTGGTTTGTCTATCATTACAACTGTTATTTCAAAATGATTTCAGAGTATCATAAGCTATGAATCAACAGCAGGCTGTTGAATATTTGTGGGTTTTTACACAATGAAATAAAAATATAGGACTTTACAAAAACAGCATATGTTTTTGTATTCAAAAAAATGCTAAACAATGACAAGTGTAAATAAGTCATTTGCTATGTGCATACACAAACCAAGGGGCAAGACAAAGATTGAATTCAATTGTAATATATTGATAATTATGTTACCATATTTGTTTTAAAGTACTGTATATGGCTATGCTCAAGTATAAGCCCACCACCTAATTTAGGCTTGATTTTAGATGCTAGTCTCCATCCAAGTATAAGCCCAGGGTATATTTTCTACAAGTGAATGCAGAGCTTTACAGTTCAGATTCTCTTTTATAATAAACTGCTAGTATCAAGGCATTTCATTTCATTTATTTCGTCCAAAGAACATTTAAATTAACAAACACAATATAACAGAGAGCAAACAACAACACTCAGTTGGCTGGACCAAATTGCAAAATAAGTGAACTGAATCACTGTCATTAGTGGCTCTCCTATGCCAATAAGAACATAAAGTAAATTAGTATAAAATATTCAGGTAAAATTGGCTTATCAATAAAGTTTATATTTAAAAATATAAATGTACAAAATCATCAATGAAATCGGTCAATAGTTAAAAAGATAAAAACATTAAAAATACAAAAAAAATTGAAATAGAAGAATTCCAGCGAAAGACTAATGTTAAAATGTTCAATTTACAAGGGTAAAATGCGAGATGAAATACTAAAATAGAATTATTGCTTAGCACAAAATAGTTCTAAAGTACTGATAAAAAAATTAATTCCAAAAACAAGTTTATCTCGGACATCAACAGGAAGTTTATCCCAAACTCTCTGAAAGTCATGAAAAACATGAAATTTAAAACTATTAATACGCGAGTATGTGTGTATAAATTTATTATTAATATAGTATAATAATGATTATTATTTTATTAAGCTTTACTTTTTTTGTTAGATTATGGAGTGCAAATGATAACACTTTGCTGTCCCGGACAACCATGGACCATAAGATCAGATCTGTTGCATTCAATCATGACGGCTCTCATCTTGCTGTTGGCATGTCTAATGGCTCCTTCACAGTACTAAAAACAAGGTATTATTTGCATACAACATTTTTATCTTAGTTGTGTATTTATTTGTGCAATGAAAGGCATGAAGTACCACCACTGACTGTTTATAACTACAAAATATTGGCATTAACGAAACTTATGGTTTTTTAAAAATTACTAAATGTTAAAATTACTATTAATGTATTTATAATTTATTTATTTGCCAATCAAACTGCTGGAAATGCAATTTACTAACATGCTTTTTAACCGTAATTTATTATTAACAATTTGATTATCTTACCAAATAGAGAGGCAATGAAAACAGTATTTTAAGTGTAAAAATAAATTAGTCAGTATATCTGTTTCATCTGAACAACATTGCATTTTTTAAACTTGCATTGTAAATAGGAAAAAAAGAAATGTTGATTGCGTGTGTGCTTGGGTGTATATAGGTTTAATTTTTTAAAGGCCATTAAATGAAATTTTTAGCAATACAATAGGCCGAATTAGCGATCGACGCTGTTAAGCTATAGTGGGTATTCGAACCAAAACAAACGCACGAAGATAGTCAATTTACACAGTAATTTAAGAAAATAGCCTTTACTAAAACGTCTCATACACGCTTTGTGTGTAAAGTTGAGCGTGATTTAAATTTACAGAAACCATTGTTACATGTTAATGAATGTAACGTCATCTTTTCTCTAAGATTGTGTATGCCAAATGTGAAATATAACAAGAATAAATCATACTATTTTGGGAATAAAACGTACAATACAGCACGACGACGGCAGCCGTGTATTCACTCACAGTGAATCATGGCGTTGGTCGATGAATGTGCTTGTTGCAAAACTCATGAAAAGTGTTGTACTTGCAGATTTCTAGGAGAGCTAAGTTATTCAAAATTATTGAATAATGTTCCTAAATTCGCACCAATAACTTTGGCAGACTGGATGTTTAAACAAGTAAAAGACTTGACGACAGCACGGAGCTGAACGTTTACAGTCAGGCCTCACTCAATCATCACGTCCAGCCATGTCGTGTTGTTGTGCAACAAGTGTCAGGGGCCGAGGCCTAGCCTGTAAAAACTCTATGTATATTTAACTTAATTTTACATGAAAATCAAATCAAACGTCTTCTGATGGTTCTATGAACCTTCCTTAAACTATCAATGTTTTAAAAAGTATTTTACCCGCGTACTTTTGTTTTTTTGTTTGTTTTCCTGGACCATACAAAAAATCGCAACGTTATAGAATACGACTTTTAGGCTTTGTTTACAATTTTATACGCACTCGGCCAAATTGTGATGACGTCACCTTTGTCGCTAATTCGGTCTATTTTAGCCTTTTTATAATTATTATTTGAGCCTTTCTGGAGTGTCAATCAAACTTAGCAACTGACCAATCAGAACATGTGTTGTCCCACAAACGAATGTGTGTCCGTATGTTTTAACACTGTCATTTTGTGGGACCTTAGCAACGATATCCAAAGGGGCGTGGCTTAGCTGAAAGGTCCATTGACCTAGGTACCAAAGGTCATGAAAGGTTTTTATTGTTACTTGCATGAATACAGAAAAATACTGTATATAAAGTTTATTGCTTATTAAGGTAATAATTTTTTTTTGGAATATTTATTATAGGGATTTATCTGAAATTATTCACATCAAAGATCGACAGGAAGTTCTCCATGAAATGAAATATTCGCCAGACGGAAACTTTCTGGCTGTCGGGTCAAACGACAACTTTGTTGACGTTTACGCAGTTACACAGAAGTATAAGAAAGTGGGCCAGTGCTCAGGTAGCAGCAGTTTCATCACGCATCTTGATTGGTCACAAGACAGTAAATACCTGCAGACTAATAGCGGGGCAGGTGAACGGCTGTTTTATAGAATGCCAGGTTGGTTTAATTAATTGTTTTGTAGTAGTATACTATTACAGGGTTTAAGCTGGCCAAAAAATGATATTTAGCAATTTGGCTAATTCGGTATGAAAATAATTATCCAAATAGAAGATTGATTACTAGCCAAAACAAAAGAATATAAGCAATGATAGCTTTAATTCCATTAACTTTTTTGGCTAATTTAGAAAGAAAATCTTCAGCCAAATTCAGCTTTTAGGATTTGGCTATTTGGCTAATGACAGCTTAAACACTGATATTAAAATACATCTTCGGAAAAAGCAAAATTTATTATACAGTTTTAGTTTTTACAGTTATCAACATTTTCACATGTGCACAAACTGTATGTTTGGTGGAGTTGGTAGACAAAAAGTGTCTTGTGAGGTTGTACAATTTAAATATTCAACATCACCACAAGATACTTAAAAGTTTGTTGTGTAATTTAATTTGTCATTTAAGTTGGGTTTTTTTTTGTTAACAAATAATTTTGTCAGTGTAATATATAATAATTTTATATTATAATTTGGACTGTATTAATATGGATTATTTTCAAAGTTTCATTTATACTTGGCTATAAACCATTCATATGATGTGGATATAAAAACAAAGTAAGTGACTACTGTTTTTACCAAATTAAAATTTAACAACATGAACATGTACATAATTACAATATGAATAATGCATTTGAAAAGCATTTTAATTTGTTTTCAGCTGGCAAACATTTCACCAACAAGGAGGAGATTCAGAGTATACACTGGAGCTCGTTTACTGGTGTCTTGGGGTCAGAGGTCAATGGAATTTGGGCTAAATACACAGATACAAATGACATTAATGCCCTTGATGCTAACTTTGGCAGTGAAGTCTTGGCCACTGGAGATGATTTCGGGTTGGTGAAACTATTTCGCTTTCCAACACTAAGGAAAGGTAATATAACCGATCTATGTTAAGTATATTTTTCTTTAAAATATTCTGAATAGAAAATTTAAAATATAAATATACAGTAATCATTTTGTGCATAGAAGCTTTTAGTATTACTGTATGTGTTACCCAAATGTAGTTTATATATTCGAAAGCCAAAAATTCTTTTAACCAAGATAAGACAATAAAATATAAAAATCTCTAAAGCTTTCGGGGACATTGGCCCTGGGACAATCAGGTTAGTTAAGGGAAAAACCTTCTCCTGGATTAGAAGTCCTGTCCCTGTTAAACTATAGGTCATCAATTGTCATTTCTCCCCCTGGCAAGAAAAGAAATGATTGATCCTCCACTCTATTTCGATTGCTATTGCTTTGATTCCTACAACTGCCCCTTTTAATTTGTTTGACTTTCTTTATGACTTTTCTGTTAATTTTGTTTGTTTAACAACACAGAATATAAATTTAACGTTATAAGTAAACTGGAGATAATATTGTTTAAATGTTTGCATGGCGAAGTAATAATATATATATATAATGCTTGTGGTATACCTCATAGATGGTTCTGAAAAGAACTGTTGTTTGTTGAGAATGTTTTAAAGTTTCAATTGAGTTGCTTCAATCATCTTCGGGAGAATAATGTATAAACCGGAGATACAAATGTAAATTGCTGCATATTATTCTGATTTGGTAATTAGGTGCAAAGTTCCGCAAGTATGTTGGACATTCAGCACACGTAACCAATGTGAGATTTACACATGACAAGGCAAGGCTGATAAGTACCGGGGGAGGGGACCATGCTATATTTCAGTGGCACTTCTATCCTGAGGGCGTCAGTCCAAATGATGACACCGGTCATGATACAGGTAAGGTTGGTTTGACTTTGGATTCAATTTCTTGTTGACCCTCTGCTGTTTAAAGCCCTGTGTGTTTTTTTCCCGTCAGAGATTGATACAATATTAGCCTAACCCAAAATGTTAATTGAAGAAAATATACTTTATTTATTGAAATAAACGCCCCGCTTTGAATATATGCTCCCCTCCCCTTAAATAAACGCTTCCTTTAGAACCTCATTTGCAATAAATGCCTCCCTCAAATAAATGCCTCCCCTCCCCCAAGTGACTGTAAACAAATATTTTGGAAGCAACATCATTCTCAAAACATTCTATTAATGTTCTACTCAACTAGAATTACATTTTTTCTGACCTCTTTGGGATCAATATGTCTTTATGATCATGTAGTAATGCATTTTGACTGTAATTCTGTGCTGTAGTTCCACATTTACAGTGAAATTAAGCGGCGTTTTTTCAATTTTATGTATCCCTTTTACACCCAAAAAAATAAATGCCTCCCTCAAATAAATGTCTCCTTTGAATAAACACCCCCCTCGAATAAATTCCCCCTCAAAAGCCCTTCTCATCAATAAACACCCCATGGCGTTTATTCAAATAAATACAGTAAATATTTTATGGTAATCAATTAAATTAAAATCGCATTATTATTGATATTATTTTATTTCAGTTAGTATAAAGTTGAAAAATTAAGTTATCAAATTTTTTCCCTTCTACAATTTTAGGTTTTGCAGACTCCAATAGTGAAGATAGTGATTCGGACATGTCAGATGTTGGTGAAATTGATTCCGACATTGAGAAAGAGAAGCAAATGGACTACAGACGACCTCTCTACAAGGAGGATTTAAAGGCCTTGAACCATCAACAGAGGAAGGGGAAAACCAGTAATGGAACCAAGAGAAAGAAAGCACCCAGTGAAGGAATCAAACTGGAGTTTGTGCATGGGTGAGTCAAGTAAAACTAAAGCTATGTCCAGAATATCACATTTTATTTGAAAAACAAATGTGATATGCCTAAACATGGTCATGATGACATCACATCATGACCATATTATAAAGCTACATCATGACTATATATGGGCATACAACAGTTTTTTGTTAAAGAAAAAGAAAGTTTGGACAGAGCGTTAGTTAAGAAAAGCTGGGAACACACTGCTTCATACAACTGTTGGCTGAAAAATACTGCGATGTCTAATGCGGTTATGATTTAAATCGACGAGCGGCAGCCTTTTTATAGGCTACGTCACATGATCATCGGCGATACGCTGCGGTGCGCTGTGCATAAGGTAGACTATCGCTGGGCTTAAGTTGTGAATGCCTGCAACACGCTTAGCATTCTTTCGTGTAAGTTTTCTATAAGTAATAAGTTACTAGTTGAAAAAAGGCATCGAAAATTCAGTGTATGCCAGCGTTTTAGAGAAATTTTGATACGTTTTGCATACGCTGACTAAATCGTCAAGGTGTGACAGGGCCATTATGTACATTATAATTCAATTGTGACGTCATCACTGCAACTCCCAATGTTAATTGCCTATTCCCCAGAGTCCAATAATTTTTCAATAGTGGACGCTTAGCTTGATTTTTTTGCAAAAGAAAATTCTTATTTTTTTCATCACTGCGAAGACATCGTGCAACGTGATGAAAATTGAATTGTAATTGAAAATCAAGCTTAACTAGAAACCGAACAAAAAATTACTTTAAATTCAATATTTAATATTAAGTATGAACAATTAAGGAATTCATTGAATCAATGGACCCTCATAAATCAAACAAATTGAACATTTAATAGGAATGTTCTAGACCTATTTTAAAGACTCAAGGAACAAGTTTAGGTAGGCCTACGTCCAGGCAGGAGGCCTCCTCCTACCAGGCTGTAGCGATTGACTTATACAGCAATTAGTAGAGCATGCATCGTACACTAACGTAAAATTATTATACTTAGGTTTGATTTAATGCATTAAAAAAATGTTTTCAATCATAAAATCTGACCTTTGTATAATAATTTTCCTATAGTGTACTATGTGGAACTCTACTAATTGCTTATCATTTTTTGCATGATTGAGAGAAATAAATTGAACTTTGAACTCCCTGTGATGATACATAAGTGTACAGTAACTTTTATCTTTAATTTTCTTTTTATAGTTACCGTGGGTATGATTGTCGTAACAATTTATTTTACACACAATCTGGTGAAGTGGTTTACCATGTTGCTGCTACAGGTATCGTCTATAGTCGTGATACTCACACGCAACGCTTCTATCTGGAACACACTGATGATATCTTATGTCTGGCTATCCATCCGCACAAGGATATCATTGCTACTGGACAGGTAAATGGACTAAATGTTTTCATTCAAACTACAAAATTACAATTTACAAACTGTTAATAATAACAAAAATGTGCTATTTATGCAGTGAATATTTAAGTAAACTGCATCTAAAGTAAACTGCATCCAAATTATTCTCCTCCTCCCCCCCCCCCCTCCATCCTACTGTATCAAACACCTATAGAACACATCCTCAGTTTCCTAACCAATACAATTTCATAAGTAGCAACTAATTAGTATATAGTATTTGGATCTACCAGTTACTAATTCATAATTTGTGTTCAGTATGCCTTTTTTCTTTGAAATGATTCATTACTTTCTTCCTAGGTTGGAAGAGATCCCACAATCCATATTTGGGATTGTGAATCGCTGAAGACGCTGTCAATCATGAAGGGGCAACATCAAAGAGGAGTCTGTGCAGTCGACTTTTCAGGTATGTGTTACGAGAGTAACAAAAAATACAGTTTTACTAATGGAGATAATAATATATTTGATAATACAGCAACGATCAGGGTGATGGTTAAAATAGGAGTAATGTTGGTAAGAAATAATAATAAATTATGGTAATAAAGAGTGTAAGGATTAGAACAGTTTTGCAGGATATAATAAATGAATGAATAAGTTGATAGATAGATTGATTGATAGGTTAATTGTATATAATGGTATAATTAAGAAAAACAATACTTTTTAAAAATGTGGGTCCAGAAAGTATGACAGGGTGTCCAAGCTAAAGGGGCTGTCTATAACATTCTGCAAAGTCCCAAGTATGAAAATCTTGGATGGAGTAAAGGGATATCCCAGAGAAATTTCTTATAACTTTGGTTGGATTGAAAATTAATATTTTTTTTCCAATGATTGTTGATTAAATTGTGAACCAGCATCATATTCTGTTTCTAATGTGTTTAATTTTAGGAGATGGAAAGAAACTAGCGAGTGTTGGTCTTGATGATAATCATTCAATTGTCGTCTGGGATTGGAAGAAAGGAGACAAGTTGGCAACAACAAGAGGACACAAGGACAAGATATTTGTCATCAAGTGGAACCCATACATCCATGATAAACTAGTGACAGTGGGAGTTAAACACATTAAGTTCTGGAACCAAACTGGTAATCAATGTTTGCTTGATTAGTTAGTCCAAAAAAATTTGTGTTGACCCAGCACAGTGATATTTAATAATCAAAACTCCTAAGGTTCAGTGCTAACCATCGCACTACCACTAGACTTTTCTGCTAAGCCCTGTCGATATTGTTGCTAGGGTTCCAAACACGAAGTGTTTAAAAGCTTACGCAAAGGCATGCATTTTTGGAGCAACACATGTGCTTGTAAATCTGGGGACTCACTGCGTTGTACGACAAATCTAACTCTGCTCCTTGTGGAAAATGTAATCACAAATCCGAATCCTGTTACCATGTCAGGAATTGAACCTAAGATTCTGAGATTGGAAGGCAAGCATCTTAACCACCAAACTATTTAACGTCGCTGATCCAAACCTTCAATAAAAATCATCAACTTTATTCTTATTTCCAGGTGGTGGGTTTACATCAAAACGTGGCACCTTCGGTAATGTTGGTAAATTAGACACGATGATGTGTGTAACCTATGGCAGATCTCCAGAGATGACATATTCCGGAGGTGCCAATGGCAATGTCTATATCTGGCAAGATGTCACGCTAACGAAGACCGTCAAAGCCCATGAAGGCCCTTGCTTTGCAATACATTCCCTGGATAAGGTATGGTTAGGAATAGCTAATCTGCTACAAAACATAATACATGAACATTTACTGTCCTTAACTCTTTCACTACGTAATTTCCTATTTCATATTTCCCATATCTGGACGGAATAAAATGCAGGAAATTTGGGGAAAATAGGAGATATATAGTAAAAGCGTTATAAGTTTTTAATTGGCTTTCAAAAATATACAAAAGTATATATATTCTTTATCCTTGAGACCTTCTCTGTCTAATTATAAGAAAGTTGTCACTGTCACTGTCGTTGGTGCTAGTGTTATGCACACTTTCACTATCATCACTATCATGACTAGGCCTAGCTAGGCCTACACTATCATCATCACTAATATCCATGTCATCTTGTGATTCAGTGGCAGTATTTGAACAATCACTATCACTCTGGGTATCATCATCATTGACATCCCACTGTGCAAGTCTGCGAAGCACTTCTTCTGCAGTTAAATTACGTCTCCCAAG